TTCTAATTTTGCTTCGAGATGAATATAATTTTAGATAAATAAAACAGAAGTACCACACACTTTAAAAACTGTTGATATGAGGTTTAAAAACAGAACATCAAATACATTTTAATGTGACATTCTTGCGTTCTAGTTGTTTTTAACTCTTATAAAAATGTAATTTTGTTCATGAAGTTAAGTAACTACTAAAAATACTTTCAGCACCGGCAAATGGCGGTTATCTACACTATCAGACACGCCACCTCACGGGCGACTGTTTGTACTAGTAACTACTAATCGTAGCATTCATGCGTCATTAAAAATATAGAAAAAGTAAACATTTTCTAAAAAAGGAATTTTCTGGAAAGTACTGCACGGGAAAAGGGAATATTTTTTATATATTAAAAGTGGTATTTTCTATTTTTAAAAAATGACTGTTTTAGTACAATTAATTGTATTTTTGTATTAATAATGTAAAATAACCAAATAAAGGATTTATTTAAAAAATATATTTAAAAATTACATCAATAAAGATATAATCAAACCCTCACGTACAGTCCTAGTGAAAGTCGTGTTCTTGTTGTGGGGAGAGTACTTTTATTTAAATTTGAGTTCTGTGATAAAGAAATGGTTGTTGCACATACCGTAGTTATTTTTCTAATTGTATGAATCTTGAAGTGTGACATTTTTTATGGAATTGTGTTTGTGGTGCCATTCAATAGATGGCGCCACATTGTAATGAATGATACGTATCATGAACGTGCTACGTCGATTATAGTAAGATTTGAGGGTTAAGATACTCTCGACATCTGTTTATCTAGGCACATTAGCTTATAATTTTGTTTTATTTGTCATTTATTGTACTTACTTGAAAACAGGACGTTATTATTTTTCAGGTTCGTAGTAACATACAAGATGTTTCTCAACACGTCGCTCAGTATGAGACAATAATATCAGAGCTGCGTCAGGAAATACAGAGGTTAAGGAATATGTTAGAAGGGCAGAATAACTCCAAACCTTCAGAAAGTAAGAATATAGTTTCAGTGTACGAAACTAAAATTCCAAGCCTTCAGAAAATAAGTATATAGTTTTAGTGTACGAAGCTAAAATTCCAAGCCTTCAGAAAGTAAGAATATAGTTTCAGTGTACGAAGCTAAAATTCCAAGCCTTCAGAAACTAAGTATATAGTTTAAGTGTACGAAACTAAAATTCCAAGCCTTCAAAAACTAAGTATATAGTTTCAATCTACAAAACTAAAATAACCTTTCGTCTTACAAATTGTTACTTAATGGTTGTTTATTTATTTACTGACGGTAACTGGAACATGATATTTAGTTTGTAACTAAACTTCTTGAGCATGGCTTAGTGGTGACCGCATTGAGCTGATGATCCAAAGTTACACTGGTTCGAGACGTAGTACTATGAATCACGATATTCAGTTAACAGTAGCCGCCCCTTTCGTCTGTGGTTCAAATTATGCTTAAACCTGAACAAAGGGGTGTAAGGTGTTGTTACGTCGGTCAAATAAACAGTAAATAAACTTTATTTTAAGGAAATATCAACATCTTATTTTAACGACCATCATTCTGTCTTCACAAGGATTACTTTGTATCATAGCAGTGATGAAACTAGAACTACTTTTTTACGTCACCATAAGCTGCCGACCGTTTCAAGTATGAATTAAATATACAGGTTATTATCCAGAGCTTCTTTTCTTATTCCCACAAATTACCTTTTAACAAGAACTTTCGAACCATTACTCTTCTTCAACAAATGTGATGAAAGTTTTAACAAGGAACATCCTATCACTGTTCTCATGGTTATAAACACACCGTGACTTTGGTTCTTTCACACCTTGGTATGGTTATAAACACACCGTAACTTTGGTTCTTTCACACCTTGGTATGGTTAAAACACACCGTGATTTTGGTTCTTTCACACCTTGGTATGGTTAAAACACACCGTGACTTTGGTTCTTTCACACCTTGGTACGGTTAAAACACACCGTGACTTTGGTTCTTTCACACCTTGGTATGGTTAAAACACACCGTGATTTTGGTTGTTTCACACCTTGGTATGGTTAAAAACTTCCCGTGAATTTGGTTCTTTCACACCTTAGTATGGTTAAAACACACCGTGACTTTGGTTCTTTCACACCTTGGTATGGTTAAAACACACCGTGACTTTGGTTCTTTCACACCTTGGTATGGTTAAACCACACCGTGAGTTTGGTTCTTTCACACCTTGGTACAGCTAAAAAACACAACACACTCTGACTTTAGTTCTTCTACACTTTGGTACAGTTGAAAAACAGACCGTGAGTTTGGTTCTTCCACACCTTGGTACGGTTAAAACACATCGTGATTTTGGTTGTTTCATACCTTGGTATGGTTAAAAACTTCCCGTGAGTTTGGTTGTTTCATACCTTGGTATGGTTAAAACACACCGTGACTTTGGTTGTTTCATACCTTGCTATGGTTAAAAACTTCCCGCGAATTTGGTTCTTCCACAACTTGGTACAGTTAAAAAACATACTGTGACTTTAGTTCTTCCACACTTTTATTCAGTTAAAAAAACGTCGTGACTTTGGTTCTTCCACACCTTGGTACGGTTAAAAAACACTGTGACTTTGGTTCATTCACACTTTGGTACAGCTAAAAACACAACACACTCTGACTTTAGTTCTTCTACACTTTGGTACAGTTGAAAAACAGACTGTGAGTTTGGTTCTTTCACACCTTGATACGGTTAAAAGAATACCGTGACATAGATGTGGTTGAAAAAACACTGTGATTTTAGTTCATTCACACCTTGGTACAGCTAAAAACACAACACACTTTGAATTTGGTTCTTCTACACTTTGGTACAGTTGAAAAACAGACCGTGAGTTTGGTTCTTTCACACCTTGATACGGTTAAAAGAATACCGTGACATAGATGTGGTTGAAAAAACACT